CAGTGTGTCGCTCCGCAGCCGTCGGGTCCCCACAGCGAGGTCCCCCCCCGCAGCCGGAGCAGGTGACAGAGGCGCTGGTGGGGACAAGGGTTTAGGGGGTGGGTGCTTGTGGCGTTTTGCAGGGGGCTGGGACCCGCTGAGGGGGAACTGCACCTTTCAGCAGCAGCTCTGGGCCTGCCAGGCAGGGAGGTGTGCGCAGGCCAGCTGGCAGCCATGCCACTTGGGTGTCCCCATCCACGGGAGGGGATGTCCCTCCTGCCGCCCCCTCGGTGCCCGCTGCCCCCTCCCAGCCCCGGGGCGGGGGTCTTTGGCCGGGCAGCGGGGCCACTGCCAGGGTGAAGTCTCACGCTGCAGCCACAATACCAGCCTGGTCAGCTGGGCTGGGTGCTGGGCGGCAGCACGAAGCAGGGCTCAACACGGGGCTCCGTCGCATTGGGGTCTTTGCTCTGGGACAGGGACATCCCTACTAGAAAAGGGGCAGTGACCCAACGCAGCTCGTGCCATGTGTGACCTTGGCCTCGGGATCTGCTGCCGGGGCTGTGCTGATCCCTCCTCTTCTCTCCCAGCACCTCACCTTGCCCCTACTGTCAGTCACCCTCCTGGTGTCCTTTGGCTCCTCCATGCTCTATGGCTACAACCTGGCCGTGGTGAACTCGCCGGCGGTGGTAAGGGAGGGCCAGCCTCTCCGGGAGCAGGGGAAGGGCTCAGCGTCCCTCCCTGGGAGGGTGGAGGGTTCGCTACCCACATCAAAATGCTGGCATTTCCCTTGGGCATTCCCTTGGGCCTGCAGGGAGCAGCCCGAGGAGAGGGACGGCGTGGGAGGGAGCCTGTGTTCTTGTACCCCCCCCAAACTGGCCAACCCTGGAAGGCAGGGGCTGGGAAAGCTGGCTGCAACCTCCTTGCTCCAGCTGCAGCTCTGCCTGTGGCATCTCTAAGTTGTCCTTAAACCCCTCCGGTGCTGAGGAGGCTGGCTGAGCAACCAGACCAGCACATACCAGTCATCCCCAGTCATGCCCTGCATCTCTTGCAATGCTGTTAAACCCATGGCATTTTCCCTTCGGTGCCCGTGTGTCTTTCTCTGCCCTGCAGCACATAAAGGCTTTCTACAACGCCACATGGTCCCGGCGGCATGGGCACGGGCTGGCCCCCGGCCCCCTGACCCTCCTCTACTCCCTGACCGTCTCCGTCTTTGCACTGGGCGGGCTGGTGGGCTCCTTGCTGGTGGCGGTGCTGGTGGAGCGGTACGGCAGGTAAGGGGGTCGGGGTTCAGCCAGGACAGGCCGGCTGCCCTGCTGCTTGTGCCCTGCCAGGAAAGGCACGCTGAGCCGCAGCGCTCTCCTCGTTCTGCTGGCTGGCGGCTTCATGGGCTTCAGCCGGGAGCTGGGGTCCCCCGAGATGGTAATCATCGGCCGCTCCATCACAGGGCTCCACTCAGGTAGGTGCTGCGGGGCCATGCACGGCCGCTTCCTCACGGCTCCATCCCCTACAGCCCATTCCCAGAGGGCTGGAGAAGACGCAATATCCCCCATTGCCACAGGCTCTGAGGTGGGGGTCTCCATGGGTCAGACAGGGCCACCTCCCTGGCCATGGGGTCCCCACCGTGGATGGTGCTGGGCATGGGAGGAGATGCGCTGAGGGTTTGACTGGACACCCTTCTCCTGGCCGCCTCTCCCACCCCGGTCCCCCCTGCCCCCTCCCAGGTATCTGTCTCAGCGTGGTGCCCCTCTACCTGGGAGAAATTGCCCCCAAGAACCTGCGGGGTTTCCTGGGCCTCATGCCCAGCATCTTCATCTGCCTGGGAGTTTTCTTCGCGCAGATCCTGGGCCTCCCAGAGCTGCTGGGCCAGGTGAGCACAATACCCCAGCCCACACATGCGGGACCCTGCTCTGCCCTCTCCGTGACATGTCCCATTTCGACTCCTTTCAGGACAGATTCTGGCCCCTTTTCCTGTCAGTGGTGGTCATTCCCGCCTCCCTCCAGCTCCTGCTGCTACACGGCTTCCCCGAGAGCCCGCGGTACCTGCTGATAGAGAGGAACGATGTCTCCGGGGCCACCGAGGGTGAGGGGGTTTCCTGGGGTGGGGACTGGCTCTGGAAGGTACTGGTCCAAGGTCTCCCGAGACCAAGGTGCATCCTCACAGCATCCTTCCACACCCAGACCTGACAGCCCACCATAGTCCTTATGGTTCCCCGTTCTCTTCTATCCGGTAGCACCGTAGCATTTCCAGGGTGCCCATCACCATGGTGTCAGGCATCTCCTTGATTCCTATGGATGCTCAGCCCCATGGGTCAGGGAGATCCCCTGGGGAGGCTGAGCGAGGGCAGAGCCAAGCCCCTGCCCTGTGCCGTACCTCTGAGCATCCACCCTGTGATGGGGAGGCACATGCCCGTGACCCCTGCCCTCCCCACAGCACTGCACCGGTTCCTGGGGACACCCGACGTGCAAGATGTGATCAAGGAGATGAAGGAGGAGCAGCGGTCGCTCTCCTCTGTGGAGATGGTGTCCGTCTGGCAGCTGCTGCGAGACCGCTCTGTCCGCTGGCAAACCCTCTCAGTGGTGGTGGTGAACGCCGGCATGCAGCTATCAGGGATCGATGCCGTAAGCCCTGTGGGGTTCTTGCCCCAGGACCTGGCTCTGCAGAGGCTGAGCTGAGACCTGGCAACTCATTTCACTGAATGCCCCACGGCTCAGTCCCCCCGACTCACGCTGAGCCCCCCCCTCGGCAGATCTGGTTTTACACCAACACTATCTTCGAGAACACTGGGATCCCCGTGTCCCAGATCCCCTACACCACCGTGGGCACCGGCATCATCGAAGTTGTCTCGGGGCTCATCGGGGTGAGTGATGGACGGACAGACGGACGCAGCCTCTCAGTGCCAGAGCCTTGTCCCCGGCTCCCATGATCACCAAACAGGGGGTGCTGGATGGGCCTCAGATGTCTCCCATGCCACAGCACCCTTTGCTGGGTGGCAGGGGGGCTTGGCAGGGTAATGGCGGGGGGAGATGGGATGAAAAGGTCTCAGTTTGTCGGGTCACATATAGGAGGGGTGGGGCGGTTCTGGGGTAAGTGGATAGCAGGGAGGCTGGGGGGAGACACCAGGCAAGGAGCAGATTGGGGGTGATGGAGGGGGCTAAGCGCTTCCCTCTGGCTCCTGATTTCGTCGTCGCTCCGTTACAGAGCCACATGCCCCCACCTGGCCCCCCAGCCAAGCGCCGGCCTGGCCCTGGGCTCGCAGCCCCGGCCCCCCCAGCCAGGCCTCATTTAGCTGGAGAGTTAGCACTGGGCCAGGCAGATTTATGGACCTCGTCCCATCTGCGAGCGTCACCCGAGGCCAGCCCGAGCCACCCGGCACTAAATCCGCTCCCTGACAATTAGAGAGATGGATGGGATGTGGCTTCTCCCAGAAAAACGGGGCTGAGTGGGGGCCTGCTCCCCTCTCCCCATAGCTGAACCCACAGCAGAGTGGGCCCCCCCTAGTCACCTCCCTG